CCATCACAATTAATTTTTGAGTAATGATCGATTTTGATAACAAAAGTACTCAATTTTGACATTATGGGGATTTTCTCTTTATCACTAGAAAATCATTACATCTAAACAAAATCTGTTTATCAATAATATCTTTTTAGTTCATAATAAACAATTTATTCCTAAAAAACTTTTCGTCATCACCTTTCATTCTTGAGTTATGATCGATTTTAAAACCAAAAGTACTTAATTTTGAGATTTTGGGGATTTTCTCTTTATCACTAGAAAATTATTATGCCTAAACTAAATTTGTTTATGGATGATGTCTTTTTAGTTCATAATAAACAGTTTATTCCTCAAATTACGTACAATTTCACAGCCGACTACTGAATTTTTGATGATTTTAAGTAGCATTAATCAGATACACGTCTTTAGTTTTGTGAGTTTTTTATGAAAACGACAATGTTTTTTAAAAAATAGTAAGAGTAAAAAAAGTTTTAGAATTAAATTCCACATGAAATGAGGTAATAATGTTAATTATTAAATCCACAAAAAGGTTAAAAAAATCTGCCAAAATTTAGGGAACCATCACCCTTAATCAACCCTTTGTATCTGCCGTGTTTTTAATGATATTGACATGATATGTATGTTAAATTGAAGCTTAAAGATTCTAGTTTATGATGTGATATTAAAACTATATGTCGATATTATTGAAATTTCCACGAAAAAAGTATTAAAGGGGAAATTGTCAAATTATAAATCAAAAATAACACGAAATATACAAAAAATCATATCTGCCGTGTTCTTAATGATAATTATATGATATGTATGTTAAATTGAAGCTTAACGTTTCTAGTTTATAATGTGATATTAAAGCTGTATGATAATATTATTGAAATTTCCAACGAAAAGTTATTACGTAATAAATTGTCAAATTATAAATAAGAAATAATACGAAATTTTCAAAAAATCATATCTGCCGTGTTTTTAATGATAATTATATGATATGTATGTTAAATTGAAGCTTAAAGTTTCTAGTTTATAATGTGATATTAAAACTGTATGATAATATTATTGAAATTTCCAACGAAAAGTTATTACGTAATAAATTGTCAAATTATAAATAAGAAATATGATAGTATGTTAAATTGAAGCTTAAAGATTCTAATTTATAATGTGATATAAAAACTATATACTAATATTATTGAAATTTCCACGAAGAAATTATTAAAGAAGAAATATTCAAATTGTAAATCCAAAATAATACGAAATTTTCAAAAAATCATATCTGCCCTGTTTTTAATGATAATGATATGATATGTATGTTAAATTGAAGCTTAAAAATTCTAGTTTATAATGTGATATAAAAACTATATGATAATATTATTGAAATTTGTAAGGAAAAGTTATTAAATAGTAAATTGTCAAGTTATAAATAAGAAATAATACGAAATTTTCAAAAAATCATATCTGTCGAGTTTTTAATGATAATTATATGATGTGTATGTCAAATTGATGCTTGAAGATTCTAGTTTATAATGTGATATAAAAACTATATAATAATATTATTGAAATTTCCACGAAGAAATTATTAAAGAAGAAATATTCAAATTGTAAATCCAAAATAATACGAAATTTTCAAAAAATCATATCTGCCCGGTTTTTAACGATAATGATATGATGTGTATGTTAAATTGAAGCTTAAAAATTCTAGTTTATAATGTGATATAAAAACTATATGATAATATTATTGATATTTCCACGAAAAAGTTATTAAAGAGGAAATTGTTAAATTATAAATCCAAAATAATACGAAATTTTCAAAAAATCATATCTGCCGTGTTTTTAATGTTAATGATATGATATGTATGTTAAATTGAAGCTTAAAGTTTCTAGTTTATAATGTGATATAAAAACTATATTATAATATTATTGAAATTTCCAAGGAAAAGTTATTAAATAGTAAATTGTCAAATTCAAAATCAAAAATAATACGAAATATTCAAAAAATGAAAGATAAATATATAATATGTATGTTAAATTAAAGCTTACAGATCCTAGTTTATAATGTGATATAAAAACTATATGATAATATAATTAAAATTTCCACGAAGAAAATATTAGAGAGGAAATTTTCAAATTATAAATCAAAAATAATACAAAATTAAAAAAAAATCCTATCTGCCGTGTTTTTAATAATAATGATATGATATGGATATTAAATTGAAGCTTAAAGATTCTAGTTTACGATATGATATAAATACTATTAGATGATATTATTGAAATTTCCAAGAAAACATCATTAAATCTATATATTAACATATATTAATGAATTTTTAATTTTAGATGTATGACGGTTCTCCCGAAAAAAACCAAAGAAAATTATTCGGTGATGATAACCCGCTTAATCGATTCAAGTCCCGAATTCTACGACTACAACAACCAAATAAAAGTAATCGATATGGTCGGAACATTAACTTTAATGCAGCGAGGCCCATCTGATGGTCAAGCAATGATCATGGATTCCGAAGGATTCGGGTTCGCTCACATGATGAAAGCCAACTTAACATCCAGCCGAAAACACCTAACATTCGTTCAAGAAGCTTTACCGATTCGTTTAAAAGCGATTCACATCGTAAATGTATCACCGACCACGGAGAAATTTCTTGGCATTTTAAAGCCGTTTATAAAAAAAGAATTATTTGATATGGTAAAAATCAAAATTAATAATAAATTAAATTTCAAATTAATTACATTTTTATGATTATAGATACATTTACATCGTACTCCGGAAGGGTTACACGATTACATTAATAAGGATGATTTGCCGAATGAATACGGAGGGAAACTGGGAAGTTTTAAGGAATTACACCAAGAAATGTTGAAAAACGTTACGGAAAATATGGATTTTTTCGTTCAAAATGAGAAATTAGTTGCTGATGAATCTAAAAGGCAGGGGAAGCCGAAAAATATGGGGGATATATTTGGGATTGAGGGAACGTTTAAGAAATTGGATATAGATTAATAAGGATTTTTATCAGATTCAAATTGGTCGAATTTAATTTAATTTAATTTGTAATCCTTTATTAATTGATTTAATTCATCCTTTAAGTTCTCTCTTTAATAATTTTGTCATGAGTAAATTAGAACGTCATGAGGAAATCAAATCGTACTGTTCACAGGGAAATTAAAATTAAGTTATTTTAATAAATATTAATAATAAAATCACATTCTAAACAAATATTGGATGAAACATTTTTCGATCAAATCTTGTGGGAAATTAAAATTTAGTTTTATTACAAAATGTTGTCAATAAAAGTTGTTTGTAATCTAATTCTCAATAAATTTTGTTTATAAAATAATTCGATATGGTCAATAATTATTAGGATAACCTCAAAAATAGAAATATATATACAGTGTCCGCCAAAAAGTCAGCAACACCCTTTGTATGATCTGTTCCGTCTACATTTCAGAAATTTAGTTTATGTGAGAGACCGACCTTTCGATCTAAAGTATTTGCAAGATGGTAGCCACTTCCGGTCCCCCGGAAGTAGACCACAACTTCGTTATTTTAAATGGAATGCTATAGTTTTTATTGCACCTTTTAATTATATGCGAAAAAATAAGTTGACTTTCATAAAAGTTATTGGTACCTAGCGCTTTTCGTTTTCGAGTTATTTTGGTTTTAATTTTTTCTTGGCAATTTGCACCATGCTCTTTAAAACTCCATATCTCAGCAAACGTTCATTCAAAAAAGCTCTAAATTGGCACGATTACTCTTCTAATACTGTCAAATAGATCGTCATTTGCTGTATCACAGTATCTTGTACAGGATGGACAAAAAGTGAATTACCTTTTTTCCCCATTCAATGGCAAGAAAGAGAAAATTTTAAATAAATGAAAAGGGAATTTTCCGGAAAATGACGGAAATCAGTTATATTTTTATTAGGACATGATATTTTAACAGTTTTTCGTTTAATTTATTTTTACAATTAACTTTGATTGATAATTTTATTTGGAGAAACGACAATTCAATTTTTGACCACCCTGTGTAACATACTCTGATACAACAAATGACAATCTATTTGATATCATTTTAAGAGTAATTTTACCAAGTTAGAGCTTTCTTGAATAAATATCGAATGAGCTATGGGGTTTTAAAAGCATGGTGAAATTTACTAAACAAAATCTTAAAAACAAAATAACTCGAAAACGAAAAATGTTAGGTACCAATAACTTTTATCAAAGTCAACATATTTTTTCGCATACAATTAAAAGGTGCAATAAAAACTACAGCATTCAATTTAAAATAACGAAGTTGAGGTCTACTTCCGGGGGACCGGAAGTGGCCACCATCCTCAAAATACTTTAGATCGAAAGATCGGTTTGAACCTCCCATATAAGCTTATTGTCAGAAACGTTGACGCAATGGAATAGAAATAAAACGGGTGTTGCTGACTTTTTGGTGGACACTGTATAAATATAGCGAGAGATTTTAAAAACTTTTATTAAAATAATCAATTTTGAATTAAATTATAAAGAAATATTATATGAAACATTTTTCGATAAAAACTATAATTTACTTTGAAATTGATCTGTTGGTATACCAATGTACTGTCGAACAAAATGAGTTGCACCATGACATAAAGGTAAGTTTCCACACGCATCGATTACTGGCGCCAATAAGATGCCAGTTTAGTTTCCACATAAATGTGATAATTTGGTACTGGCACAGCAATAAAGATGGCGTTAAATGATGTACTCCTTAACATGTTATTAACAAAAAAAATCGAAAACATAGCTGCTGGGTTCGATCGTGGATTGCATCTGGAAATTACCTAGGTGCATCAAGTACTTTAATTAGAGAACTATGTCATGAATATACATACAGTAATTAATGCTATGACGTACTATTTCTTAACATTTTTCTTTTCACTTTTTTTGATATAAGGATTTTTCGAAAGTTTTTCTTGACTTAAGAAGACAGCTCAATACATTTTTCTTAATAATTCTTCTTAAAATTTTATAATAATTTCATTTCTTTGACCGTAAATGGGTTAATAATAAACATTTTATTTTTTATACCTTTAGCTTTAATACAACATAAAAGTCGTTTCTTTATTCCTGTAAATAAAATCGGTATGATTTTTTAAAGTTTAACAAATATTTTCGTTTCTTCCCACAATTAAACATTGACATTTTTCGATTTTACAAAAAAACTTTATCATCAAACGTATTACTTATTATACATAGACTTAAAGATTAAAGTTTAAGCTTTAATTTAAGAAAAAAGTCGTTTCTTAATTCCTATAAATAAAATCGGTATGATTTTTTAAGATTTAACAAATATTTTCGTTTCTTCCCATAATTAAACACTGACATTTTTCGATTTTACAAACAAACTTTATCATCAAACGTATTACTTATTATACATAGACTTAGAGATTAAAGTTTAAGCTTTAATTTAAGATAAAAGTCGTTTCTTAATTCTTATAAATAAAATCGGTATGATTTTTTAAAGTTTAACAAATACTTTCGTTTCTTCCCATAATTAAACATTGACATTTTTCGATTTTACAAACAAACTTTATCATCAAGCATATTACATATTATACACGGAAATAAAGATTAAAGCTTAAGCTTTAATTTAAGATAAAAGTCGTTTCTTAGTTCCTATAAACAAAATCTGTATGACTTTTTAAAGTTTAACAAATATTTTCGCTTCTTCCCATAATTAAACATTGACATTTTTCGATTTTACAAACAAACTTTATCATCAAACGTATTACTTATTATACATAGACTTAAAGATTAAAGTTTAAGCTTTAATTTAAGACAAAAGTCGTTTCTTAATTCCTATAAATAAAATCGGTATGACTTTTTAAAGTTTAACAAATATTTTCGTTTCGTCCCATAATTAAACATTGACATTCTTCGATTTTACAAAAAAACTTTATCATCAAACGTATTACTTATTATACATAGACTTAAAGATTAAAGTTTAAGCTTTAATTTAAGACAAAAGTCGTTTCTTAATTCCTATAAATAAAATCGGTATGACTTTTTAAAGTTTAACAAATATTTTCGTTTCGTCCCATAATTAAACATTGACATTCTTCGATTTTACAAAAAAACTTTATCATCAAACGTATTACTTATTATACATAGACTTAAAGAATATAGTTTAAGCTTTAATTTAAGATAAAAGTCGTTTCTTAATTCCTATAAATAAAATCGGTATGATTTTTTAAAGTTTAACAAATATTTTCGTTTCTTCCCACAATTAAACATTGACATTTTTCGATTTTACAAACAAACTTTATCATCAAACGTATTACGTATTACACATAGACTTAAAGATTAAAGTTTAAGCTTTAATTTAAGATAAGAGTCGTTTCTTAATTCCTACAAATAAAGTCGGTGTGATTTTTTAAAGTTTAACAAATATTTTCGATTCTTCCCATAATTAAACATTGACATTTTTCGATTTTACAAACAAACTTTATCATCAAACGTATTACTTATTTTACATAGACTTAAAGATTAATGTTTAAGCTTTAATTTAAGATAAAAGTCGTTTCTTTATTCCTATAAATAAAATCGGTATGATTTTTTAAAGTTAACAAATAATTTCGTTTCTTCCCATAATTAAACATTGACATTTTTGGATTTTACAATCAAACTTTATCATCAAACGTATTACTTATTATACATAGACTTAAAGATTAAAGTTTAAGGTTTAATTTAAGATAAAGGTCGTTTCTTAATTCCTATAAACAAAATCGGTATGATTTTTTAAAGTTTAACAAATATTTTCGTTTCTTCCCATAATTAAACATTGACATTTTTCGTTTTTTGTTGAGCTATTTAATTTATATTTGTTTTACACAAAAGTTGGAATAGATTGCATTATTTCACATTTTTTATTAATATTTAATATTGTTATTAAATAACTTAATAAATTATTGATAGATGGCGCTCATGTATTTTATTTTAATTCAAATAAACATAGCAACATTTGTTTGTATTCAGAAATTTTCTGATGTGTCAAATTAAAAATCTTGTTTAACATGTTAGAATGTTACATATTATAAAATAAAGTAAATTTTATATACATTTTTAGTAGAATAATTTTTAGATACAGTACAGTAATTTACAGGAAACTGTAAATTTAATTTCTTTGACGACACTAAAAAGAAGTTTATTTTTAGCTTTATTTTAAAACAATAAGAAATAGACCTATCTAACCCCATATTTTTATAATCAGAAAAAAATAACGAATTTAATAAGCGAATAATCAGTGGTTGTTTCCGTTTAAAAAAACGAAAATTGTCATAATATCTCAAAACCTAAAACTGAAAAACATTTTTTGACTACGTCATCAAATTCTCTGTAAAAAAGTGTCCATATAATGTCTTAGTTATAATACTCCACCTATAATAATAACCAAGATAGTTGCATTTGCTGGTTTTACGATATTTTCAATTTTGGCCTCTTGGGGAAAAACAAAAGACGATAGCGCTTTGAGGTTTTTAGCATTAACAATTTCT